ACCCTACAGTTTCCAATTTCAAGCCACTTTAACCTTCACCTTACAAGACAGACTCTGCCAATTGTACTTAGGGTTCGCAGTTTCTGCAGAATATCAAAGACCTCCATTCATATATTTATTCCCCCTTTGCTAGCGCGAGTAAAATTACTCTCACCGATGTGAGAAAGTTTATATAAAGGTGATTAAAATGGGGTTAATTTTCTCCTTGTCAAACAGTCCATTTCACTGCAATAATTATTATTTTTAATAATAATAATAATAATAATAATAATAATAATAATAACACTAATGATTATTATTTTTATTGTTTTTTATAATCATTTTTTATAATTATAATAAAATAATATGACAAATTAGAAAATTTTTAAAAAATTATGATTAAGAAGTAGGAAATATACCCATTTTATGCATAATTTTTATTTCTCAATAAAAATATTGTTTAAAAACTCAATTTTTTCTTTTAAGAAGATTCTATTTCTTAATTTCAATTGTTTTAATAAAATTAAAAATTTTTTTAAAATAAAGGGAAACAATGTTTATAAATTATATATAAACTGTAATAAATATATTACAATGTTTATAAATTGGAAAATTTAATTGAAAATGAAACTGAAAATATTTGAATTTTTAGAAAATAAGGAAAAAAATGTTATTAAAAAAAATGTTCTGTTAAATTTATTTACGAATATCTTTAATTGTAAAATTATTTGTAAACAATAATTTCTCTTTTAAATATTTTAAATATTTAATTATTATTATTTAATCGATCGAGTGTTAAAATAATTATTTTATATTATAAGAATATTGTTACTGTAACTTCTTCAAAATTATTTTCATATTCTATTATTATCTAAAATTTCAACTTAAATTCATTTTCAAATCAATTTTTAATCAAAAATTCTACAAGAATTCAATTATTGAAAGACAAAAGTAAATTATTTATTGAATAATTGAATGTTTCTTAAAATTTAATTCTTATAAAGAATTTTATTAAAAAATTTTAAATAATTGAATTCTTTTGACGAATTTTAATAAAAAATTTTAGAATAGTTACATTTTTCAAGGAAATTGATTAAAATCATATTAAAAATAATTAAATTCTTTTCGGTAGTTTTATTAAAATAGTAGATATTAAAAATCATTGAAATGAGGAAAATTTTTTAAAATAATTAAAATTTTTTAAATTCAAATAATCGAATTGTGAAGAACAGTTTAATTATTTATAAAGATAATTAAAATTTTGAAGAGAATTTAAAAAAAATATTAAACATAATTGAATTTCTGCGAAGAATTTATTAATTTTGAAAATAATTGAATTGCTGCTAGTAATTATAATAAATATTATTCGAAAAAAGAAAAAATTCGAATTTCTTTCTGATATTAAAAATAAAAATTAATATGATTTATAGAAAATTAATTTTTTTCGAAAATTCTGACAGGAGGCGAACTCTTGACTCTTGTACCACAAGTCGAGAACGTTAACCCCTTGACTACATCACTTGTATTATTACTTTTATTTTTTATTATTTGTATATTTATTATTTACTTATATAATAATTAAAATAATTACTAAAAGAAAAAGGGAGAAAAAGAGAAGGAAGAAGAAACAGATGATAAAGAAGAAAAAGAAGAACCTAGAAGAAACAAAATTCGAATTTTCTTCTAATATTAAAAATAATTTACCAAAATTAATAAACTTTATAGAAAATAAATTTGTTTTCGCAATATAAAAAAAGAAAGTATTATTTTTAATTGTGAAAAAAAGCTAAAGAGTGCGCGCGGTGATAAAAAAAAAAGTTTCCCTCCCTCCCTGTTTTACGATTAACTGAAGAGATCAAGGTACACTTCATATTTTATACACCGAATACCTGAAGGCAAATATAGTGGGGGGATAATTAAATGACTACATTACGGTCGAATATGCGGAGGGCTATCAAATGTCGAATACTGCCTTAAAACTCCACTGAAAGGAAATTATTGAGAGAATTTTGCAAACATCATTTTCATCTCCCTCTCGCATCAAAAGTTTATAAAAAGCTCACATTTGTTGTAAAAATTTCTCGAGTTTACAAAAATCAGATTAAAAATTTTAATATTCATATATAATCATTTTCTTTCTTTCCAATGCAAAAAAAAAAAAGGAAATCTAATCAAAGGAAAATTTAACTTCAAGGGAAAAAGGATAAATACGGGGGAAGGAGAGAGGGGGGGGGATAAAAAAAAGAGAAAAAAGAGAGATTACTAAAAGAAAGAAATTAATAACAAATAAATTAATTAAAAAAAATAAAGTTCTCTAATGTAAACCGAAAGAAAATGGAGAAAATAATTTTTCATAAAGAAAAGAGAATATTAGAAATGCGGAAAATTTTGTATTTTTTTTTCTCTCCTCATTAGTTGGATTGCAAATGAAAAAAACGTCGGAGCAAATCGATTAATTTATTATATATAAGGGATAAGCTTCCCTTGCAAATGTAATTCGAAGCAATTTCAGGGTGCGCGCGGATCGAACGACGAAGGAATCTCACGAGTCGTTAACGAAATTCGTTAACTACATTCATGCACTCAAGCGAATCGAGGTAGGATAGTTTAATCGAACGTTTTCTGGACCTATGCTTTGGATGCTTTTCGAGATAAAAATCGACCGAAAGATTCTCCTCTCAATCACTTTTCTTTTCTTGATCGCATGAGAGACTGTAATTATCGTTTCTTTTCTTTTTTCATTTTTTTTTTCTTTGCATAAGCTCGCACACAATAATAATGCAAAACAAACATATATGAAAATTTCATATCACATCATTCTTGGGTTACTAATTATATATTCGGTGAAGAAATAAGGAGAAAATGAAAAAGAATTCGCGAGGCAAGATTTTTTTTTTTAAGTTACAGGTGCTTATAGAGTTGTAATGGTGTGTCATTATATGTTGTATATTTTTTTTCAAAAGTAAGGTTCGTGTAATTTTTGCAAAATATGGTATTTTAAATTTTTTAGATTTTGTAAACAAAGTTTGCTCTGTGATACAAGTAAATGTTTGTTTGTTTGTTTTTTGTAAATTTAATACGATTATTCAAAATTAAATTTTCTTTGAACCGATTATAAAATAAAATAAATAACATTTTATTTTATTCAAATTTCTTTAATTTATTTCTTAATTTATTTCAATCAAATTTTGATTTGCTTTGAATAAATTTAATTTGTTCTGAATAAATTTTCTTTCTTTGAAACAATTTTTTTTCCTGATAAGAAATTTTCTTTCTTTGAATGAATTTTTCTTTCCTGAAACAAGAAATTTTCTTTCTTTGAAAGAATTTTTCTTTCCTGAAACAAGAAAAAAATTATTTGGTTTCAATAAAGTTTGTTTTCTTCAAAAAAAAAAAAATCTTTTTTCCTTTAAGGAAATTTTATTTTAGTTTTATAAAAATTTAATTTGCTTCGATAAAAATTTTACTTGGTTCAAAAAATGTTTACTTTTTTGAAATAAATTTTATTACCTTCAAATAATATTTATTTAGCTCTATAAGAGTTTTATTTGGTTGAAAAAAAATTTTACTTGATTCAAATAAATTTTATTTGCATCGAATAATTTTTATTTGATTTTATTAAAGTTTTGTTTGATTGAAAAAAGTTTTATTTGGTTGAAGTAAATTTTATTTCATTCTATAAAAGTTATATTTAATCCTAAAAAAATTTACTTGCATGAAATAAATTTTATTTGGTTCTACAAAAGTTTTATTTGGTTTAAAAATATTACTTGGTTGAAATAAATTTTATTAGGTTCTCTACAAGTTTTGTTTTGTTTAAAAAAATTTTACTTGGTTGAAATAAACTTTATTTGCCTTCAACTATTTTTATTTGCTTCTATAGCAGTTTTTAAGGTTCAATAAAATTTTGCTTGCTTTAAATAATATTTATTTAGTTATATAAAAGTTTTATTTTATTCTAAAAATTATTTATTTTAATGAAATAAATTTTATTTGGTTCTCTACAAGTTTTGTTTTATTTAAAAAAATTTTACTTGCTTGAAATAAACTTTATTTGCTTCCAATAATTTTTATTTGCTTCTATAAAAATTTTATTTTGTTCAATAAAATTTTACTTGGTTGAAATAAATTGTATTTGGTTCAATAAAATTTTACTTGCTTCTTAAAATATTTATTTAATTCCATAAAAGTTTTATTTGGTTAAAAAAAGTTTTACTTTCTTGAAAGAAATTTTATTTTGTTCTATAAATGTTTTATCACAATTAAAAAATGTTTACCCGGTTGAATTAAATTTTATTACGTTCAATAAAAAATCTTGTTTTATCAAATTTTACTTGCTTCAAATAAATTTCCGTGTCCTTCAAAAAAATTGTTTTTGTTTCCATAAAAGTATAATTTGTTCCAAATAAATATAATTCGATTCAAATAAAATTTATTATGTTCAAAAAAAAGTTTTCTTCGTTCAAAGAAATTTTATTTCCTCCAAAGAAATTTTGTTTGATTCCAATAAATTTTTTTTCGCTTCAATAAAATTTGTCTTGAAGTATTTTCTCGTTCTAGTTTAATTTTAATTTTCCAGTTGAAGTAAAAAAAAATCCCTCCGAAAGTAACCAAACACGAAATTACAAATTACTTTCCATAAAATGCTTCAATAGAATTTTAATTTTTTTTTTTTTTTGCAAAATAATTATTTGTTACCAAAAAAAAAAAAATTGTTTGCAAAAAATACTGTCTGAGATGGAACATAAAACACATACTCAACAAGTATTCCCGAAATCGGTAATACTGACATCAGTAAATACATTATAGAAGAGGAAATAAACAGAATATCGTCGTCGTTAACTACTTTGATTACCGCCATCAAGCCCATTGTTGTTGTTGTTGTTGACAACACAACTTACGATTTCACACATGCAAATGAAGAGATGGATGAGAGAGAGACAGGGGGGGGGAGAAACAATGCAATAAAATGGAGGCATACGGCAATAACTGTCAATGGTCAAAATTGGAAGCTTACTCACATTGTAGATCACAATAAGCCTCTCAGGGAACAGCATCAATCCCAACTCGTTCACCTCGTGTATTTCAATTCTGAAAAAAAAGAATGTTCACATTAAAATCCACAGGGAAAATTTTTATAAAATGCAAAAAAAGACACTCGAAAGATATTTTTATACTATTTGAAAAAAGCACTCGAAGACACTTTTTTCCACTAGTGCAAAAATCACTCGGAAGTATTTTTTTTACTAGTGAAAAAAAATACCCGAAAGCACTTTTTTCACTAGTGCAAAAAGCACTTTATGATGGTTCATGACTGTTCGTGTAGACTCGTGTAGACTCGTGTGGACTCGTGACACGACGAATCGTTCCGAGATTGCACGAGTGGTCACGAACTCTTCCGAATCAAATATCAAGTCGCCATTTGCAATTCAAATTCGACGCTTTTTTAATAAAATAATTAATTTGAACTGAAAAATAACTAATTTGTATTTAAAAATAAAAAAAAAGTTAGTGAGAATAGTCAGCCGCGCGCGAATTTTTGCTAATTTGTAATTAAAAATATCTAATTTTTACTTTAAACAGAATTCTAAACATAAAAATTGTTGTTAATTTTTTCCCTCTTTCTTAAATTTAAGTGTGCGACTTATATATTCTTGTTCACTATTTGAAGTAATTTAATGACCATAGAATGTTTTACTATGAGCTTCATTTTCAAAGACGGAAATCTCGCAAAAAAAAAGTAAAATAAAAAATCAAGTTGCATTCAGTCAGTTCAAGTTGTTCGTGCCCCTTAACCACATTTATATCATGTAGCAAAGCTCAAAGCTGTAGTGGTTTCTGCGTGTTTCAAATACTCTACATAGAATTCCTCTCTCTATCTCTTTGGCCAAACGCTCCTTTTGCTACTGTCCAGACTTTCAAGTATACACAAGAGGCATTATCACAACTTTGTGTATATATACGAGTTTCTCAAAGAAATAACAAAAAATACAAAATTCTTTTTTGGTCTTTAATTTTTTATTACTAGTGTATTGCTTTTTCTCTATTCCAATGTAGGGTAGACATTACTATAGAAATAATAGTGAAATTTGTGTAATTTACACATTAATAACAATAATAATAATTTTTAAATTTCCTGACTTTTCCTGACCTAAGGAAAACCCTGTATACACCACTATACTATAACACTGCTATACCTCGTAACATTTTCGAAAAAAATTAACTTGTCAGCAACTACTTAATTTTTTCAAGAGTAAAAGACAAATGTGAATAAATTAGATGACCCGGTTTGATATAAATTTTTTTTCGAAAGGAAATTGAAGGTAATTGAAGATAAGGACTAATCTAAATACATTTGGGAGAGAGGAGAGGGATATTTACGACTGTCACTGATAGTACACACATGTTAAAGGTAGTGCCTTACCTCTAAACCGTAAAGTAGCCCCCCGTTGAGACGTTAATGCGTCCGACAGGTTACGACAGTCGCGTGTTACAATTCTCCGTTTACAGTGAGCCTCTGGATCTAGAGGGTTTTCGATCCAATCACCAACTAATAGTGAATTTGACGCCTGAATTTCGAATTTCAGTTGCTGATAATAATGCCACAAGTTCCCGATAAGAAAATTCATGTATTATCATTTTTAACCATCAATTTCCAACCAAATGGATAACAATTTACACCGCAACTCGAAAATTACTAATTCGAAACTTTTATTCTAATTAATCATCAACTCACAGTTTTTCTAAAGATATTATAATTTCTTTATTAAAATTTTTTCCGAATAATTATTATTTATTGATTTCATGACTTTATTTTATTATTACAGACTTCGCACTCGATAATTATTTTTAAAAAAGTAGCTTTCAAACTAAAAAAAAAGTAGTAAAAAGTATTTATCGAAAAATTAAACTTAACCATAAATAAAACTCGTTTTAAAAACTTCACAAAACTGACAAAAATTACATTCTATATTTTATTTTCCTGACTTTTTCCTAATTTTCATCAAAAATATTTACATCTTTCTTCACCTAATAATAAATTGAATTCCTGCAACGAATTTTATTTTTCATGAAAGAATTTAACTATTTATAAAAATAGTTAAATTCTTGACAAGAATTTTATTAACATTTTTAAGTAATTGATTTTTTCGACTAATTTTACGCAAATTCTAATTTAAAGAATTGAATTCCTGAGAAATTGTTATTATTCATAAAAAGAATTGAATTCTTACGAAAATTTTAACAAACAAATTTTTAATAATTGAATACTGTTTGGGAATTTTATAAAAAATAGAAGGTATTAAAATTCATTGAATTGCAAAAAGTTTTTAAAAATAATTAAATTTTACAAAGAATTCTATTAAAATTTTTCAAAATAATTGAATTTCTGTGTGGCATTTTATTAAATTTTTTTGTAAATAATTGAATTCCTTCCTAAAAAGTATTTTATTATTTATAAAAAAAATTGAATTCTGGCGAACGATTTTATTAGAATTATTTAAAATAATTGACTTTCTAAGACAAAATTTATTACTTTTATAAATAATTGAATTCTTGAGATGAATATTGCTATTTATTCAAATAATTGAATTTTGCAAAGAATTTTATTAAAATGCTTCAAAATAATCGAGTTTTCGGGAATAATTTTTTTTATTTATCTTTAATAATTGAATTCTTTCGAGGAATTATTTATGTAAATAATTGATTTCTTGAGAAGAATTTTATTAAAATCTAATAGAATTATTTTTAAAAAATTTAATGAAAATTGTAGTATTTAATTTGAGAATAATTTGATTTCTGTGTGGCATTTTATTAAATTTTTTTGAAAATAATTAAATTCCTTCATAAAAAGCATTTTATTATTTATGAAAATAATTGAATTCTTGCGAACGATTTTCTTATAATTATTTAAATTTTAAAATAATTAAATTTCTAAGAAAAAATGTATTACTTTTAAAAAAAATTGAATTCTTGGTATGAATATTGTTATTTATTCAAATAATTGAATTTTGCAAAGAATTTTATTAAAATACCTTAAAATAATTGAATTTTCGGGAATAATTTTGTTATTTATCTTTAATAATTGAATTCTTTCGAAGAATTATTTATGTAAATAATTAAATTTTAGGGAAGAATTTTATTAAAATCCAAAAGAATAATTGAATTATTTCAAAAAAAATTTAATTAAAATTGTATTTAAAATAATTTATTTTTTTCGAACAATTTTTTTAAAATATTAAAAAAAAAATTTAATTTCTGTGAAAAATTCTAATATTTTTGTAAATAATTGAATTTTTCCAAAAAAATTTAAAACAACATTTTTTTAAATAATTGATTTTTTCGAGGAACTGAAATTAAATTTTTAAAGAATAATTACATTTTTTAAGCAATTCCTGTAAAATTGTATAAAAAATAATTAAAATCCTGCGATGAATTTTATTATTCAAAAACAAATTGAATTAAATTAAAATTTTCAAAAATAATTATTGAATTCCATCCAAGAATTTTATTATTTATGAAAATAATTGAATTATTGTGAAAAATTTTATTAGAATGTTTAAAAAGAATTGAATTTCTGTGAAAAATTTTTTTATTTTTAAAAATAATTGAATTTTTGTGAAAAATTTTTTTATTTTCAAAAATAATTGAATTCTTTAGAAGAATTTTATAAACATTGTTTTAAATAATTATTTTTTCCGAAATATTTTTTATTCTGTTCAATTTTATTTTAAATAATAGAATTCTTGTGGAAAACTTTATTTGTGAAAATATTAAATAATTGAATTTTTCGATTAATTAGATTAAAATGGTATTAAAAATAATTGAAATTCTTCGATAAGTTTTATTATTTTTAAAAAAAATTGAATTCTTGCTTAGAATTTTATCAGAAATGTTTAAAAAAAAAATTTAATTTCCATGAAAAATGTTATTAGGTATTAGTGAAAGTAATTAAATTATTCTGAAGAATTGTATAAAAATTTTATTATATAATTGATTTTTTCGAAATTTTATTGAAAATGATATTCTAAATTAATTGAATTCCTGTGTAAATTTTATTAAGTATTTTTGAAAATAATTGAATTTTTTATGAATTTTTTTTCTTAAATAATTGAATTCTTTTGAGAAATTTTATGAAAATACTAGACATTGAATATAATTGAATTTCGATTATTTTTCGAAAATAATTGAATCGTTTTAAAGAATTTTATTACAATTTTTGAGAATAGTTTTTTGATTTCTAGTATTAGTGAATTTAAAGTAGTGAAAATTCTATGAAAAAACAGAAATATTAACTTTTAGTGGCTGAAATTTGAAAAAAGTACTCAAATAGTAGCATGACGTAAAAAAGTAGTAAATATTAGGTTTTAGTAGATGAATGCAAAGCCTGTTATTGATTTTATACCGATTTCTATTTTCTATTATTATCCTTCTAATACCGATTTTAATTTTTTATTTCTGATTTCAAACAGATTTTTATTTTTTATCGTTAATTTAGGCAATAAAAAATAATTTTTCATAGTATTTGATAACAGTAATAATTAAAATGATTGACAGTAGAATTTACAGTACAATTACAAGTTAGATATCTCTCCAGAAGGGTTAATGTGGTTTATCGAAGCTCATAGAGGCACTTCACTTCCAGGTTGTCCCGGTTAGAATTTCCGGTCTGTTACCTGTCATTTCAACCCGAGTATCATAAATTCATCATGTCATGTCTAATGCTCTATTCTCTAATCTTACTGTTTAATCGATTTATCCATACGTTGCGCTAATAGAATAAAATTGTTTTTTTCTCCACTTTTTTTTTTTCGAGTCCTATATATATTGTGACGCATCGTTTATACTTTCCTTTTGACAAATTTAATGGAGCCATGGAGTCATCACTGTGTTAGTTTATGTATACCCAAGGGTTGTGGGCACATGGCGGTGAATTCATATTATGACTCAATGGGAAAGCTCGAACACGTAAATTTAATGAGAAACTCGATAACGCAAGAGACACGAAATGTTGTATCGCATCGTGGGGACAAAGTTCGAGTCATTGAAGGGGGGAGAAAAAAAGGAAGAAAACGGAAGAAGGGAGACTGAAT